ATCTATATCTATCTATCTATCTATCTATCTATCTATCTATCTATATCTATCTATCTATCTATCTATCTATCTATCTATCTCTATCTATCTATCTATCTATCTATCTATCTATCTATCTATCTATCTATCTATCATCTATCTATCTATCTATCTATCTATCTCTATCTATCTATCTATCTATCTATCTATCTATCTATCTATCTATCTATTTGTTATTAATTTATTTATATTGATATAGATAGATTGATTGATTGATAGATAGATAAAGTTGAAAATAACTTTACTCCCTCCTAATAGTTAATTGGACATGCTACAAAATTTAAAGTGTTGAGTATAAAATTAGGTACTTGTCATAAGAGAAAACATAGCATGTTTGAATTAGTGGTCATACGAAGTTAAGACCTTTTCATTTTTAGCTTCATGCTAGGATCAGCATTTCTGTTTTCACATTCAGCAATATTCTTCTGCTAATTGAGATGTATTACATAGTGAGCTTAATTTGTGAGGGCAAATCTTTCTGTAGTTAACAAATCTCTTTCTGTGAAACATCTATCTAGCTATCCCGAGCCGAACAGAGGATGAATAAGTTGGATCAGTGCTATTGTGAAAGAACCTGTACTATGAAGGGCATCACCTTCAGAGAATTTGAATCTTGGACAGATGGCTGTAAGAACTGCACTTGCATGGTATGAGTGTAAACTTAAAAAAAATAAAGGACCTAATTATGTATTAAATATTTATGTATTTTGATAAAAAAAATTATCAGATCACTTAAAAGCAAAGAAATCAAAGAGGTCATAAAAATTGCAAAATCCATAATTAGGTCATCTGGTGTTATAAAATCATATACATACTGTCTTGTTTTCTACAACAAAATAAATTTGCATAAATTTTTACACATTTTATTTACATTATATACTTTTTCTTCCTCTTTTTTGTACTTTCTCTTTTAAAATGCTTTAAATGAAATAGAGCTGTAATTGTTAATAACATTGTAAGGTTGGGAAATAACAGGATAAGCAAAAGTATTGCCCTTCCAGCCTGTTCACCCGGCGGCTGATTTTTGTTTTTTTATAGCTTTTATATGTGTTCCCAATTCACAACCCATGACTTGGGTAGCACAGAAAGAGTCAATAACAAAAATAAGACAAAATAACTATATAGGTACAAAGTATAACTATTAAAATGCCAACAGGGACTCAAATTTTTTAAATATTACCAGAAGGGAACTCATTCTAAACCAAATGCTTGAGGAAATAGCCTGATCTTCTCTGTTACAATGAATTCAATCTGTGGTCGGAATATATAAAAATATGGCTAAATCTTATAGAAAGTAGAAATGTTATGGCTCCTCTCCTAACTTGAGAAAGTAAAGAATCTTGAAACGGATTATTTCAAAAGGAACCTTTAATCA